CTCTTTGGAGTATAAATTGCTATTTTGGCTTTTAGCCCCTAACATTTTATACAACACAAGCCTGCAGGGACTGTTCTGGGGCCCGGTTCAGCTGTGAAATGCTTTTGGAAATGTTTGAGGGTTACTCCTGGTTGTTCAGTGTTGAGCTTAGCTGGTTGGGTCGTGGAGAAGCACATCTGGAGCCAGCCTGGATGCCACGAGCCGTCCTGCGCTCTCTCTGCTCTGCTGATGGATCCACACACACCTCCAGCCCACCCCGCTTACAGCAAATCGGAATACCTGCTCCTCTCCAGTTTACACTGGTCTGAGAGCGGGGATGGCAATATTCAAGTCTCAAACCAGTCGGAGGCTTGAGGGCCGCTGTTCGTAACCCTTTATCACTGGGAAAACAGCTCCAAGCCTGGGAGTGAAATACGCTGCGTGCCAGCCTGCATTTCATCTCAACACTGATGCGAATGGCAAAGCAATTGCACTTGGTGGCAGGAGATGGCCAGGCTCTCACTGGTTAAACTCACCTCTCGGACAAACTGGATTTATGCTCGGGGTCCTAACCAGGTTGCACATACAGAGCAAACACCAGAGGTGCTGGTGGGCTGAGCCTACGCTGCCAGAAATCAGCCTGTTTCTCCTGCTCTTGGCAACAAAAACTTTGCCCCCTTACTTGCCTCCTCGTGTGCCTTGTTGCTCAGCTCAAAATGACTGCTCAATACGCCTCTTCTCTCAAAAGGCGGGCTGCAGGTTTGAAAAATGTGAGGTTTGGAGGAGCTGTTAATTATGGGATAGGCTGTTGCTTTTTAGATAGAGTTCCTGGTTAACAAGAATACTTCTGCTGGAAGGGGATAAGATTCTTAGGAGTGTTTGTGCTTTATCTGTCATGCAGAGGGTGCTGCCAAAGTTTATCTCTGTGCAGCTATCCTTGCTGTAATTATTCATTACTGAACCATGGCGTCAAGGTGGGGTTAGTTTTACAGTTTTTAGAATATTTTTTCCCCTTAATGTTATGTTTTTCCCTAAGAAGGATTTCCCCATCCCCCACTTGAAAAGAAAAACAAATAGGATTATCATTATAGGCTTTTTTCAAAATTCAGAGTAGTTTCTCAAATGCACAATTTTCAGACCATCTTTGTTTAAGAAGTCTAATCTAAAATATACAATTTTAATAAGGTTTAAATTCTCTTTAGTCATATGAATTCATTACCTGAGTGAAAACCCAAAAGGGAGCTGAGACTTTCCCTCTAGAATAAGAAGGGGTTTGCATATAGGCAATTCAGTTTTGCTTCTTGGTTTCAACAGGACACATCTATCCCAAAACTGTGTGCATCATCAGTATGTTTTGAGTGAGCAGTGCTTTTATCTGACATCTACAATAGATGAAAAAGAAAGAGGGAGAGAGTGAAGTTCAGCATCCATTGGAGAGACATAAAGTGTCTTTATAGATGATGTTCCTGGTGAATAGGACTATATGATTATATGGCCTCTGTGGGAGAGTTTTGCAGCTTAGAGATAATGGTGGTGGCAGCTCACTTATACTTACCCATTGAATCGCTTTGTGTGCTTAATGTTATTTATTTGCTTATCTGGTGCTGATGGAATTTCATCAGCCCTATTGTAATGGGTTTAAATCTCAGCCCTGGCAGGCCTCAGAGGGCAAGCTGTAGGAAATGCTTCCCGAGCCACACGGGAGGGGCAGTGCTTGTGAGAAAGGCATCTGGTGAGTGGGCATTTCTTTTGCTATAAAAGCAAGATGCTGTGGGAACCATGTGGGAGCTGGATCCCCCTCCCTGCCCCTTGGATCGTGGCAGTTTGAGGAGTTTTTGTTCTTCTCCACCACTGACTGCTGCACACAGTGGCTCAAGGTACAGAGTAACTCTGCTCCTCTGCCTGCTGTGCTGCGGACACGGTGGGAGGACATTGCGCTTCCTCTGCTTGGGGATATGCTTCTGCTCTCCGTAGGAAACCAGCATCGACCTCCAAAATCACCCTGTCCAGATGAATGAGCGTCCGGAGCATTTCATAAGCTGCAGCCAGGTTTCAGGTGCTCTCAGGGTCCCACTGAGTGGTTTTTTGATGGATCTTTCTGGCTTTTGGTTGTGCTTTTTTCCATGTAACAGAAAAGGCAGCTCTTTCTTTCTTGTCTCTGAAAAATTAATGGCTGCATCCTCCTGAGCCCACCTCCAGTCCTTTAGCTCCGAGACGGCTGCATCCTGCCATGCGTGGAGCTCGGTGGGAATGGGAGCTGCCTCTGCCCGGCTGTGAGCAGCACAGCGTTAAAAACCTTTTTGCAAAGCTCAGGCAGATAGCAAGATCATCAGCTTCTCTGAAAAACACCCGGCTGTTTCTTTGTGCTGAAAAGCCCTGGCACTGGCAGGTCAGTGGGAATCGGGGTGACAGTCAGCCCTGCGACCGGGCGGCCCCGTGCGCCCACCAGCAGATCCACGGGCATTTGCTGAATCACGGCTCGCTGCTGCTGTGCCAGGGCTGCGCTGTTGCTAAATGCTCTATTCAGAGGAAAAGTGGAAGATCTTTGGCTGTGTCGGATGCTGCCCATGGAGTCAGCAGATGAGCCTCCGGTGGGGTACATGAGCTCACCAGTTGTCAAGCTAGGAGTCCTGTCTGGATGGTGTCCCGGGAAATTCTTGTCCAGAGGCGAGAAAGGACTAAATGTATCTTTTCAGGGAGATTGGGGGAGACACTAATTGCTCTTCTCCAAAAAAAACAGGTGGGAGGAAGAGAGAAAAGGAGGCAGAATAAGAAACAGCCTAATTGAAATCCAGCACAGATTTGTTAGTGCCTCTGGGTCTGCAGTTGGGAGGCAAAGATGTTAATATCTGTAGACGTTTAGTGAACTGAGCTGGGCTGGGAACTCAGCTCAGCCTGTTAGGGACCAACAGCTGTGAGTGAAGTAGGAACTGCTTCTCCCATCCACGTTTTCCTACCAAGAGACAGGGCAGCACATGGGGAAAACTGCTGTACTGTCCTGGGTGTGTGTTTGGGGCAGAGGGGTCACACATGCACACACACAAACATGCACACAGAAGAGCAGCACATCTGAGCGTCATTTTACAGTCGTGTTTATGCCCAAGTTGCTTTTGTGCCCTGCACACAAGGTTAACATTATATTTTAGTATTTCAGTGTGAAGTAGACCTGTAAATAATATCAAGCGGCAGCCAGATGAGACCAGGATATAATCAATATGATCCTTTGAGCTCTGGGAGGAGGGCAGCCATCTGTCCAGATAATTAGGGCCCACCATTTTGGGGGCAAAAATTAGGTATTTAATTCTTTACTATTTATACCACTATTTTTATGGGTGATTTCCTTTCAGGGCTAGTTCTCGAACTTACTTGGTACAGTTCTGTGAAATGGCTTTGTAGCTGTCTAAGGCAGAAATTAAATTGCATAGTCATCTTGCTTAGGCTTAAAAAAAGCTGGGTGAGAGATCTGGTTACTGGCATTGGAGTTTCTGTTGCATAGTTCCATATATCCAGTTAGGTTATTGCCAGCAAACAAATCCACATGAGTTTGCTTCCTTGCTGTTGGTAATCTGAGCTTCATTGCTGGATTGATTTGCTCCTGACGGTCATGGAAAATGTGTGATTACACTAATAGCTGGTTATTAATCACTGCCAATGGCTGTAATTATATCAGCTATTAGGAAGTCAGCTAAAAGCAATGCCTGTCCAACCAGCACGGACAGTGAGGAGAAACACAGTTCCTGCTTCACAGGAGCAGATAGTGTTTGTTGGAAACTTCATTTCCTTTTGTGGATAGATGCATGTTAGAAAAATAACTCTGAATTTTAGCACCTTTCTACTTCCACCGCAGTGTCCAGACCCATTTACTGGACTTCGCTCTATACCACAATGTTGACTTTCTGAGCACTGTGAGAAGGATTCAGGGTTAAGTAGCCATTGTGCTGTCCTCTGAGACCCACAACCAAGAGAGACCCTCTTCTCTAAGAGTGCCTGGTCCAAATCCATCTCTGGAGAGTGCTGGTTTACCCCTGTACGTCACTTCTGGATTGCTTTTGAGATGATCATTGTGTCGTTAAAGCTGTGTATTCCTGTTGGGTGTAGCCAAAGAGGTAGAAGGCAGCTTTCCTTCCTGCGGCAGTATCACACCTTGCCAGCAGACACTTTTGTTGAGAGACCGATTAAATTGGCAAATGCAGAGTTTGGAGCATCTGCACTGAGCATGCTGCTCCTGCTAATCACCTGTGACAAAACGGTGGCTGAGCAGTGTCCTGTGGGCACCAGAATGGTCATTTTGCTTGGGACATACTAAATACCTGTGGAATGTTGATGTTGCAGCTGGGCAGAAGTTGCCTATATCCCTATTGTGATGGATGCAGTGGCTGGCACATGCTTTTGCTTGTGCAGGAATAATTAGATCTTCCCTTTGCTCACAAGGAACATCTGCTCGTGTGTCTTTTATGCAAAATCTGTGTTTTCCTTTCGGCTCATGCCCATGGGTGATTTTTTTCTGTCCTCTGAGTGTGTATTGCTGTGATGTGCTGTGCTGAGAACTTGGTGCAGCTCTGCCAAAGAATGGTGTCTGGCTGGGGCAGCCCTTTTAGATCCCAATTTGGCATGTTAACACTCCCTTCCCACTGTCCTCCTCCTTTGATGACTGCAGAAAAAGCACGCTCCAGGTGGATTTGAAGACACTAGCATTAGATGCTTCAGGGAGTATTTCAGCACTGGTATGAAACCCAATAGGTAACATGCATCTTGAGCTTTGACCTTCCCTGAGCACAGCAGTGTGATTCCAGACTCATCAGGAAAAGGGAACAAAGTGGATATCTTCTTACAGTGGCTGAAAAGATGGTTGGCTGTTGTCTGATTGCTTGCGGTAGGATGTTTAATGCTCCTGGAAATTGGCTGACAAACCAAAATTGTCTCACGGAGCAGTAGATGGGAGTGTACCGATTGGGCTCCGGATGAAGGCCTGTTGTGTCAGGTTTTGCCTGATGGGTGTTTGTTTCTACTCTTCTCTCCAGGTAACTTTGAGAGATGGCGGAGCAGCGTCAGGACGTCACCATGATGGAGGATCATGCAGCTGGCCAGGAGAAGCACATCCCATCAGGTGAGCACCTCCAGGAGGAGATGGTGTAAAGGACTTGCCCTGCCTGCTGCTGAGAGAATGACCTAGGTGGGGAGAGCAGGGCCAGTGTGTGAGGGGTCCCAGGGGACACCCAGGAGGGTAGTGTGTGTATCTGGAAGGCTACTGTGGATCAGCTGGCTGCAGCCAGTGGAGAGTGGGTAGCCTACAAGATGCTCTGATGTTCACAGTCACAGGAGAACGCTACTGTTTGATATTGCCTAGCAAGAGTAGAACAACCCCTCGTATCCAGACTGGTGATGATCTTATTGCTGCAGCTTTGCAAATGTGTGTTTCTGTGTTCACTCCTTAGTTTGCTATAAAAATACAGTGCTGCTTTTATTTCGAGACACAGCTCAAGGATGCTGCTTGCTGCCTGCTTTTCTCACCTGCACAGGGAGATGGGGGGAACCAAACAGAGCGCTCTGGGAGCAGGGGCCATGCAGGAGTCTTTCGCCCCATATTTCAGACCTGCATTTCTCAAGAAGCCTTTTCTTTCTCATTCCACCATGCTCCACAATTGAGCTTGGAAACCACCCACGTAACACCAGCAAACCTGGTGGGACTCGCTCCCAGCTATGCTCCATATAAACATCATCGTAATTTTCTTTTCTTGAGATGCCTTGGACACAGCTTACACCAGATAAATGGATTGTCTCTGTCCTGGAGAGAATCCATAGCATCCATTCATGCTGAGTTCTGTAATGCATTTCAGTCTGATAGCTCCTCTTCAGCTTGTAGCCTCAGCTTTGCACATCACAGGTTCCCAGGGATTTTACTTAAGTTAGTTTGAATCTTCTTTTCCAAGTCATTTTCTCCAGTTCTTGTTATTTTATTTGCCCAGACTCCTTGCAGAGAGGAGACTTGAGCTCTTCCAAAAGATGACTTTTGCAAGCAAGTCTTCGCACAGAAGACCAGTGTGCTACACCAAGCCCTTTGCAGAGACTTCCTGGTTTGCAGTGATTAGAATTAACACATCATGGAAGCTTTCAGCAGCCTGCTCCGGGAGGGAGGCTAATGGCCCCAGAAATGGCAGAGAGGACAACAGTGACTCAGAAGTTGTACATCTTTTCTGCTTATGTTGCTAAGATCTCCTTTCTTGCTTGTGCCATGCTTTGCTGTTTCCAGCTGTCCGGTTCACTGGGCTTTTCTTTTGCTGATGGGATTCTGCTTGTTCCTTTTGGTGATGACACTGGTGCTTTTGGTTGGCATTTTCACGCTTTGCTTGCTTGTTGGTTCAGGTGTTTTATATTCTCCAATTAGAGTTTCTTGCTGCTGTGGATCTGGGCAATCAGAGTTCGTAAGTCACAGGCCGTAATTCATAGCCAAAGGACTTGTTCTAAGTATTTGAATGTTTTCCAGGCTATCCCCTTCAGATACCAGTCGATGATGGATCGGATGAGCCTGTTTCTGAAACATCTGACGCTAAGAGCACCCCAACTACGGAAGGTGGGAGCTCTTTGACTTACTGCTTTGAAACCATGATGGATGGGGTCGTGGTAAACCTTGCCAAGAGACTTGCCGTGCCATGTTCTGGTGGGGTTTCTCAGGAGGAGTGTCTGTACTCTTGGAAAAATGCTCTTCTAGTCTCATCATAAGCAATGTATGCCACTCTGCAGAATGAGAAAATGAGCTTTGTAGGTGGAGAGTGGGTTGGAAGGCAAGAAAAGGTGAAGTGTTTATTATAGTTCAGGAAGTTGCTTGTGGTTTGTTTTCTGAAGACACAGTGACTGCAAGGTCCCGTTAGCTCAGCGCAACTGGGAGCAATCCCATGTTGTGTGCTTCCAGGGACAGAAGTTTGCATCACTGTGCTCCCCCAAGATAATGACAGCACATCCTGGTTGCTGTGTTCCCCTTCAGAGTCAGCTGTACCTCATAGCTCTGGTTTTGTCCCCTCTGTATATACATGTTCATTAGTACAGCGTGATTCATGCTGGAACGATGAGATGGGCAGAGTCTATACCTAAAAAAAACCTTTGTGCTGATGTAAAGGTCATATTGGTAGGACCCAGGGCATGTCAGTGCTGCTCCAAAGTGTTATCTGAATGCCCTGTTTGTAGAAAGAATCTAATTCCAAAGTGGTCTAGAGACTTGTTCACTGTTTCAATTAACTGCATTTTTTGTATTCCTCTGGCTGCTTTAATCCCAAGTATCTGTCTCTTGGAGACCTTGGGAAAAGATATTAGTTTGCAAAATTTACCTAAGAGAGAGGTTGACAGAGATGCTGACCAGTTCCAGCCCTGTCTCACTGGAGGTGTAGGCTGACTGATCATCTGTGAAGCGGCTCTGTTCCTGTGTATGCGGCTCAAGAAATCAGTATGTCAAACCTGGCTGGTGCAGAAGGTGGTATTGTCCCTCTTTCCAGTTGGATTGGGACTCTCATGATGAGCAGACATCCCTCTGGTAGGTGGAGCCAGGTATCTGGCTGTCTCAGAGCTGCCCAGAGCGCGACGCAGCCGCAGTGCTCGGCCAGTTTATAAGGTACTTGATGGGAGTTGTTTCCTGCTTCAGACCAGTGATGTCCCCGTGCAGATAGCATGCAGCTCAGGCACCAGTGGTTGTCTTTAGCTGTGCATTCTCAGACAATATTTATGGTAAAACCTTCAACTGCATCAGGAGTACACTGGAGTTGTGTGGTTTGTGTGGCAGAGGGGACAGCTCATGGTGTCCCTGCTGTGTCATGCTTCTTTCTCCCCTTCCACAAGCACTGGCTCAAGGGAGGGAGTCAGGTGCTGTTCTGAGCAAAAAGTTCTTCAGACATGTCCTGGCCTCCACAGGGTTTTGCCACTCAACGGCTATGTGAAAGCTGCGTTGTTTTTCAGATGCCACAGCACCTTTAGTGGAGGAAGGAGACCACGAGGATCAGGGTGGTGTCGAACAGCACGGGGAGATCCCAGAAGGAACCACAGGTGAGGGAGACCAAGGTGCAGTTTCATCTCTTGATGCAGACAGAGCAGAGAGCTGGACTGGTTAGTGCTTAAAAATAACTGCAAAACCTCTCACAGGCGTGCTTAGCTTCTGGTGCGTGCTTCTTTCTTCTCCATGGCCTGCAGTAATAATTCCTAGCTTACAGTTGTCCTCTTTACTTCCCCATCCTGGGAGAAACTTGCAGCCTTTTCTTCTCTCTTTCTCAAATCCACATCTGACAATCTTTCTATCTGGTGTCTCTGTGGTGGCTTTGCCTCCCATCTCCAGGCTAAGTGCTTGCCTGCAGATCCTGGTCATCTCTGCCCCTCTGCCAGCAGCTCTGCTTTGCTGGCAAGGCGAGGTGGTCACCGCAGGACCTTGCTGCTTGTCTCACTGGTGTTCTTGCTCAGTCCAGCCCATGTGGTTGTCTTTGAAGCAGCAGGTGAAAACCAGGCCACTGCAGCAGTTCTGTGGCTGCCGGCATGTTTTAAGGATAATGCAGAGGAAGTGAAGTGGCTAATTCAGCCTGGATGCTCTGTGGGGAATCACTGCACCTGGGCCTGGTTTTTCAGGGAGGGATGGGGGTCTTTCAGAGGCAGAATAAGAAGGGGGTGAGCTGCAGCAGTGCTGTGTGTGTACAAGAGCTCCTGGGAGAGTCAGGTCTGTATGTGAAAAATGAGTACGTGGCCCCTGTGCGGCAGCTGCTGGTGTTCCCTGGAAGCATCAGGCTGGACCTGAGGTAGCAGGTGGAAATGGGCTTCTGCCAATGCCTGAACACTGGAAAAAGCCCACAGCTCGCTCCCTTGGACACCCAAATTGTCTGTCCTGCATCCAGTCCCCAGGCTGCTGGTGGAGCCCTGGGCTGAAACACAGAGTGGCTCATCTGCTAGCAAGGATGTGCAGTCTCTGATTCAAGATCTGACTGTACCAGGGAGTCAGGAAGAAGCAGTGTGTCCTGAACTCTTTGGAAAAAAATGGGGAAAACATAGAAAGTCCTAGTTTGACTGTAGAACTGTGACATGCAAATATAATTGATTGATCCAGTTTGAAAGTAGTCATACAATAAATGGAAAAAATTATTACAGAGACAAATCATCATTGCTGTGAAGAAGAATGTGCTTTTCTAATGTACCAGTATTCCTGAAGCGTCAATTTTATATCAGACTCTGATTTATTGGTGTCAGATAGCCTTGGCAGAGTTCGTTACAGTAAACTGGGTAGTAGACACTAGGAAGGTAGGGCTCAGGTAAGACTCAGACATTTGTGTGAGTGCTGCCAGCAACGTGAACGCGAGGTGGGGCTAGAAGAGGGGATATAAATCCACAAGTTTCCCTGCTCCTTAACAGCCTGTTTTCTGCACCTCTGCCTGAAGGAGCTTGTAATAACCTGCCACCCAGGACGTGCGAGTTGGTGAAACACTCCTCCAGTCTGGGACAGCACAGGCTGAATAAATCTACCTAGATCCATGATTTCCTTTCTGATACTGCCCTGCTCATAAAACAGCAGTGATGGGCAGAATCAGCAGGGAGGTCAATAAATTCTCCAGACACACGCTTAAACTTAATTCTTGTTTTGATCATGTTTTTCCCATTCTTCCTCTGAACTGGGACCAGCTGAAGAGGCGGGCGTAGGAGCCACCCCCAACCTGGAGGACCATGCTGCAGGAGATGCCGCTCAAGGTTAGTGCATCATCTGTCACAGGGGTCCAGTTATTGCTGTCCACACGTGCGGCTGGTTGCTAGTGGCTTGGGAATTTTCTTCTGTAATGCAAATGCTCTGCACTGTACGAGCAGTTGTGCAGTTCTCTCTGTTATACATGCTTTGAATGTTCCAACATACTCATTTCAGGGAACCGCAGCTCTTCATGCACCAAATTTCTCTCTCAGATGGCTGAAGCCGTTGTGATTGTTTGTCCAGTTGCAAAACAGGGCATCCTGCAGGCTAGAAGGGTAATAAACAGAGCCAGGATGGTGCAGTTAGCCAGGAGGAACTGCTCATCATTGAACGGAGTCAGCTGTGGGCCCTGCATTTCACAGATTAAATAAGTGAATTGTTTAATTATTGTGTCTCTTTCTAATGTGAGACATGTCTCAAACCTACTCCCTGATGCCCTGACTTTAACATTAAGGGTGCTTTTTTCTCATCCCAGTCTTAGGGACTGTGGCTGACAAAGCCAGGCACAGTGCGCAGTGAGCTTTTTTAGAGCATTAATTGTGCGTCTGCTCAGACGAACCAAGAAATTATCCGGGGACCTCTTGTCTATCTGGAAAGTCTCTCTTGACTCTGCTCAGTTCAGACTTGTTGAAAAACCTCAGGACAGGATTTTCCCAAAGCACCCAGTGCTAGCTTAATTCTGTGCCCAATGGGGCAGACTTAGGGGTTTCAAGCTCACTTTGATATTGCTGTCTTGCTAGCACTAACACACCATAGCGCTGATTTGGTGCGCTGTTTAAAATCTTAGTTAAACCCCATTTTGTAAGGTAGTTTTCTGCACAGTAGACATAACAAATTCCTCCAGATGTTTTGGGTAGCATCTTTCCTCCTCATAGCTGCATTAGTGGATTTACAGACATCCATGTCTTTTAAAGTAGGTCTTTGCCTTCTCAGCTCAGGGCAGAATTCAGGTCGTCTTAGCTTTCCACACACAGTTGAGCACAGTTACGTGCAGGCTGCTCCCTGCAATTAAGATAAAACCTTTGCTTGCCTGTCCAGTGGTTCTTGGACTAGCAATTCTTCTGTATTTAAAACAGTGTTGCCACTACAAAAAAGAAATTAAGATTGTTAGCAGGAGGAGGGTGAAGTTCTCTCTCCGTCTGCCCTGTTCAGTCTGGTTCTAACTGCTGTTTCTTACCAGGTTTTTAATAAAACTTTTCTGTGCTGTCCTGGAATCTCTCAGCTGTCAGATATGGGGATATATAGCTAGCTGGAGCTCTGATATAACCTATAGATGACATTCCTAGGTTCTTATGTAAATTGCTACTTCTCTGAAAGTGGACTTTTAATAATGTGCTGGTTCCTTTTAATGGTTCTGTTTGGTTCAGAAGAAGATGTGAATATCAATACACACAGAGTCTCAGATATCTTGTTACTAGCTACTGCAATTTTTCATGTTGTGGGATTTGAAAAAATGATCTTTGCAGTGAAGATGGAGCATCTTAAAATGCCTCTGGAGTCTGAGGTGGAGAAGCATCTTCTGATTCACAGTTTGTGCCATGCTGGCATTCTGCTGGCTCTTGACCTTGTGCTGCATGTTTGCCCCAGGACCACTGCAGGGTCCTGGAGTATGGAAGTACAGCTGATGAACTGGCTGTCCACATCTCTGCACCAGCAGTCGTTAATGGTCATGCTGTTTGTTTGCTGAAGAAATGATCTGAGACGGTCTGCCGGCTACTGCATAAGCTCCCTTCAAATCCCTGTGCTTATAAAAGGTGTTTCTTGATGCCACATTTCAAATATTACCTGCCAGTAGGTGCCAATTTAAGGTTTCTTTTAAACCACAGTTTTGGAGGTCTCTGTGTGATAGTTACACATAACCATTATATTCTCTTAAAAGGGGGAAAACAATGATAAAAGACCAAGTCAGTCTTGACTACTTCTTTTCTTGTTTTAATCTTGTTTGTTAATCTAACAAAGCAACAATCAAAATCTCAGTACCATAATGCTCTGATCTAAGCTCTTCAGTTTATCTGATAAGTGCTCAAAAAGACCAAAGGGTATTTGAAGCTGTACGAATTCATAAGATAAGATGCACGTTCTTACTAGGGCAGTTGACTTTAAAGCAGTTACCTATTCTCCATTGCTCAGTGCATCTTTGCTTCAGTTGAATGAATTTTTAACAGAAAAGCTTCAGCTCAACTAGAATATGTGGCTTAACGCAGCAATTTTGGGGAGACACTGTAAAGGTCTGTGTCGTGCATGAGATCAGTTATTGAATAGAATTCTTTCTTTCCCCCACTCCCCCTCCAAAAAAAAATAAATACCTGTATCCCTGTGACCTTAAGTTTTGGGTTTTAAATGTCACATTTTCTACTCTGCCCATAATGATGGCAGCAGTGCTGGAGCTCTGATTAGCCTGACTTAGGTGCACAGTCCAAAATTGCTGTGGCCGTGTGGCTACATTTGCATTTTTGCTTATATTCCTTTCCACTGAGGTTGTCTGCTCCACTGGCTGTTGAAATACGCAGCAGTAAGAGAGGAGACATAAGTGTGCTCTTCCAAGCTCACTAGCAATAGAAATGATCTGGAGAGCAAAGCAGAGATGGTTTAACTCTGAGAGGATGTAACCGGTGCCATGTCTGCATCAACATCTCTTGCAAGGGAGGAGAGGCCTGTAGGGATTTTCTAAATCCGTGAGGGAGAGGAGGGTGTCTGGCCTGTTTTGTTCAGGCCCTTGAGGCAAGAAGAGGTGGTCACTAACTAGCAAACTGATGGTCCAGTGGTGATGTTATATTCGAAAATGGGTGTTTTTCTTGGCTTCTGAAAACCTGTATAGCTAAACCATCTCATAGAGTGTGGGTGTGACAGAAGTTGGTGGTTGGATACCCCAGGCTCCTTCAAGACCAGGTCCAGGAAGGAGTCTGGCCTCCCACATGCTGTGGCTGTCTCTGTTCCTGATTCCCGTGGGGATCAGAGTTTCTTTAAAGGCAAAAGCCACTGTAGAAGTAAGTTGTCTGTTCAGTGGGGCAGCGTGGGATTTACTTTTATCTTCTAAATGGATAGCAGAAATCCTTAGTCTCTCTTCAGCATTACATGACTATCTATTTGACATGCCTGTGCTAATTGTTTGCCCATGCTTCATACCCTGCATCTTCAACTCCAGAGGAGCCAAGCTCTCCAAAGCTACAGCCTGGCCCTCAGGAGCATGTGGGAGATGCCATAAAAAGAGAAAGCCAGCCCACAAAGCAGGTAGCTGGGGTTCTTCAGCAGCCTCTTCTCTCACATGAAACGAAGGCTACAACAGCAGCTCCCACCAGAATTGAGGTCACCATCCCAATACCCCTGGATATGTACCAAGACTCCAGACCGTCTGAAGACGACGATGAGTTGTGGGATCATCGAGGCAGAGAAGGCATTGGTGTGGATCCAGCGTTGGGAACAGAGCTGGGTCGTGATACACGCACTGAGGGGTTGGCAGGAGCAGGTGGCAGAGATGACTCCCATTTCAAAGACGGGCCATCTCCTTTATATACCAGTGCTCCATTAAAAGAAGATGCCAGTGGGCGGGAAATAGATGAGGACCGTGATATTGATGAAACTTCTGAACAGGATTTGCTTTCCCTGGTGGGACAGAATGTTTCACCAGGACCTGAAATGGGCTTGTGTCCAGAATCAGCCATGGAAGGTCAGGAAGAGTATGTCTTTGAAGAAAATAAGTCCAAAGATGTCCTCAGAGACATACCAAGAGAGGCACTTTGTGTTGAAACTGAATCACATAAAGCAGAAGAGGACCAAGAGGGGAGGAGAGAGCCATTGAGGGGGGTAGAAGAGACAGATGTCACCCCATCAAAACCTTCTGAAATCATCTTCCAAAAAGAAGCAAGGGCAGGGGAGGAAGAAGATTCTGGACCCGTGATAGAAAAAGCCAAACTCCCCATTGAGTTAAAAGATGACGTGGAAGACAAAGATACTGCTTTGGAAGAGGCTGTGCCAGATACAGGGGAACGCCACACGCCCAAGAAGAAACCTTGTGCCCACGTTGCAGATAAAGCCGTCAGTCGCGTCCCTCTCCTAAAAGGTGTGTGCAACGTTTGCCTGCCCTGAGCTCACATTGCAGGTGGCTTGCTCACGACAAGGCTGCCTGAACCAGCACTTCAGCTTGCTGCCACCTCTCAAATCCTGCTGCTTGAGAAATGGCCTGGACCTTTGCTGTGAACTGATCTACAAAGTGCTGCTGCTTCTCCCTCCCACTCCTTCCCTCTTTAGTTTAATCCTGGATGTCTTGGCATACTTGCCAGACCCTTATGCTTCGGTTTTGCGTCCCTTGCATGGTGCTGGCGTGTCCCCGATCATGCTTTGTTCACCTGTTTTTGTTTTAATTTCCTTGGATCTGTGGGTTGGGCACCTTAACTCACACCTGGCACCTTCCCAGAGAAGATGAAGACTGGATGGACATTGTTCTGGCATGTTGGAGTGGGGCTAACCCAGCGCACGCTGCAAGCAAGACACATGCCATCTGGTTTGCATGTGTCCACTGTCCGGTCCAATAACCCTTTGTATTGGCTTTCCTAAAGAGGAGGGAGGAGGAAAAAGGCAAGGGAGTTGGCAGGTCTAACCATGGAAGAGGCCCCACATTGGCCCTGTTTCCTGTACTTTTCCCTTAAATATCCACTGCTGACTGCTGTTGGAGTCAAGGTCTGCAACTAGCTGGACCTTTCCCCACTGCAGGACATGTCCAGTGCTCTTCCAAAGCATCCTGCTCCTATCCCAGGTCTGGACGGCGTGTCCCTGCGTGGTCCCACGCGATGGCTGTGTTTGGGGTGTTCTGCAGGAGCTGCCTGTGTGTGTGGAGGCCTGGCTCTTGGGTGCAGCTAACCGAGTGTGCGTCGCTAGGCTAGGCTGGGAGGGCAGTCAGACCCTGGAGCTGTTGTGTTCACGCGGCAATCTCAGTCTTAGCTATCTTGGGTGAAGGTCTGAGTTCACCACTGAACCAACAGAGCAGCTCTTAGACCCTTTCTTTCTCCAAGAACTATTTTCCTCCTTCACTGTGGGTTAGGGGGATGTCACTAGGGGCCCTGCTCAGTGGCCAGATGCAGGTATTGCAGTGAGTTGTGTTAAACTGGGGCAGCAGGACACACGTTGAAACCCGATGGTGTCTCACCGTGTTCTACCTCAGCTCTGGCTGTTCAAGGCCTAGCCTGGGTGAAACTTTACCTTTCACCCCAGTGCCACATCCCAAAAGCTGGCCTGGCTGCTTCCATTAGGCTGGAAATGCTGCTCTGGTTTGCAGCAGAGAGAGAATGCTCTTCGCTGCACAGGGTTCATGAAGAAATTGTTGATGTAGCTTTTTCCATTGGAGCTAAAGCTCATAACATATTTCTTGTTGTTCACTACCTAATAAGACATTGGGAAGCTTTGCATATGTGCTGCAGGGCATTGGCATGGCTTGCTACCGCTCGCATCGGAGCCTGAAAATGGTGGTGTGTTGGGGATGCATTGCCCAGAGTCAAGCCCTTTCTGATTAAATAGGATAAATTTCTTTAATTATTTAATGGTCTTTTCCTTCCAAGACAGAGATACTTTGTGGCTGTTCAGTTCCAGCCATGTTCCAGTCCACAGAATCACTGAATTTGGGAAGGGTAGTGCATCCAGCAGATCTGGGAGTGGCTGCTGGGGTGGGTCAGTTCTGGTTTAACGTTTTTCATGTTACTGGGAAAGGGCTGACCCCCCCCGGACAATCTTCCAGAGTACTGGGGACAACACCAGCAGTTTTTCTTCCAAGATTAGGGAGGAATTAGCTGAAGACAGGGAAAAGGGGCTTTGCTATGAGTGCCTTATAATACAAACATTACTTCCTCCCTGTTTCTAATCCCCTAATTAGCCATATTGCAGTCTGTGGTGCTTGTAGACTAATGGGACGAAACACTGAAATATTGTCAGAGCCGCTGTAAGCTTGATACGATCAAGTAGGACAACAGCTAAAACCTTAAGACCCTGCAGGGTCTGACCCAGATCGAAGGCGCGCTGTCTGCTGGGGAGGCAGAAAGCAGTGTGTCAGGAGAGATGGGAATTAACGGCAGCCAGGTATAAAAAATGCTTTGCAAAGCTAACACACAGAACAACAACTTAAAATGGGATCATGGGCAACCTGGTGCTGCTAGGATTGGGGCATCCTTCAGTTTTAGTCTTTGTTTATATGATTGTTAGAACCAAGGGGTGTTTTAAAGTGGGAGACTCATGTTTAGGGTTCAAGAGAACTGTTCTGTCCTAAACTGAACAGATGCTACTGGAACTGAGTGTAAATCTGGGCAAAATGGTCTCATACAGACCTTGTTGCGTGTGTCTGATGTTCCAGTGATGACTAATACACTCTTGCCTGTGGATAATCTGTTAACTCAGAAAGAATGTGTTTACGATGTGGAAGTTTTTCTGCAAGAAATGAGTGACTTTGTAATATTTCTAAGAATAGTATTTAATTTAAAGGAGAGCAGGAACATGGAACACCCACCCGGCATGCATGTTGCTGTAGCGCAGGCATTATCTCTAGAGAATTTACTCACCAGTCCCAAGAAGTGTAACTGGCTGTGTTTCCATTTGTTAGGTCGTATTAACAGCAAAGACAAGGAAGGGACTGAAGCTGAGGAAAAGAAACCAAAGGTAAGCTGAAAAAGAAAACCAGAGGTGACTTCAACCCACGAAGTGCTGTGCGTGTTCCTGATTCCTTCTGCCGCTCTCCTGGGCTGTGGTTTTGCCTCTTAGGAAACCTTGCCATTACCTTCCATCCTCCTGCCTGTCTTTCAAGAGTGTTTTTATTTTTTCTTTCCTCACCCTGGTTTGGATGGTGCAATCCATGATGATCTTTGAGGGCGAGGAAGCTATCCAAATCTAGAACAAAAATGTGGCTCATTGGGGTTGTGTGGGTGGTTAGAGAAGCCATTTTCTCAGCCCAAGACTGGAAAGCAGACAGCAAGCTTTGCTGGGGCAAACCAGTCCAAAACAAATTCAAAACTGTGTTGGGCCATACTGGGGACAAGCAATGTAACAATGAAAAGAGCAAGATGTGTAATTAAAAAATTAAATTAAATAATCTGGGCCTTGCAGATGCTGTGTTCTGGATGAGGCACAGAATTTAATAGTGGGTAAATTCCAGAAGTTTAAAGACATCTGTCACACTGCTAATTTGGAGGAGGTTTAGTTCAGCTGGCCATTAGCCTGGCTAGTGCCTGGGTGAGATAATGGGTAAGTTGATGCACAATTTAGTGGATGAAGAATTAAAGGTGAGGAATATAGTTATTTTCAAACAATGTGAAAGGTCTTTCTCTAGGGAGGTTTGGCAGGTTGTATCAGGCTAGGCATTTGACACAATACCAAGCAATCATCTTGATAAAAATCAGTGACCCATTATTGACGAAGCAGGTATAATGGGGTTGAGAGACCTGGGAGCAGTCATCTGCCTCTCCCAGAAATGCTGACAGTGCTGTACCTGCAGCATTTTTGCCAGTGGAGTACAGAGAGAGTGCGGGACTACAGAGAGCAGTTCAGATGGTAAAATGTACCACTGGTGGGGAGGGGGTTGGCTAGGGCAGGCTGTCCTGGGGTGAGGCTTTCCCCAGAAAGGGGTTTGGGTGTTGCTGCACCCTGTGGGAGGAATAGAGCTGAGGTATCCCGTACTTGCTGGTGCAGCCGTGGGGCCCCGGCAGTGCCCTGGGCCCCGCAGCTCTTGCCCAGCTGTGTGCTGCAGGGAAAGGGCAGTCCCAACCATCGCCTATCCCACAACCAGTTCTGTATTGCACTTTCTAATCCTGTTTAATGTTGGTGATCCCCTTTTGTTTCCCTCCCATACTGAATTTTTTTTTGTTCCGATTTTATTTTGTTTCCATGTTTAAGAAATCCTCATCTTCCACTGCCAAACCCCTAGGCGATAGACCCTCCATTCCCCCCCAGCGACACACCTCCTCTAGCACAACCCCTTCGAAAACACCCTTCAGCCCTGCTTCCACCTCTAAAAGAGTCTCTTCTGTCACATCCCGACCTGCCAGTACAGGAACACAAGAAACAAAAGCCAAGGTAAGGAAATGGGATGTGAGAGAGGCAAAGCTGCTTTGGGACATACCTTAAGGCATTCCTGACAGGTCTGACCCTGCTTGGCTGGGCAGTCTCTCCATGCCCCATCCAGTGGAGAGGGTGGGATGTGCTTCCCCTTCATCTTCCAGTGGCCGTGGCCAGACTCGGCGCCAGTTTTGGTGTTTGAAGCAACTGGGTCCGTCTCGCCAGCACGTAAGGCCCCGTGCTCTGCATTACAGCAAAAATCTCATTGCTGTAGGGTGTTACCTGGTCTCCCTGAGTCATTTCCAGGTCCCTTTATGCTTTTTAGTGCTCTTCTTTGCTTTGCAGCTCTATGCTGTGTTTTATGGGTGAGTTGGCTGTAAACAGCAGATGTATTTGAAATGTGCCAGAGCCAGATCTGCCAGGTGCTACACACAGAGAATAGGAAATGCACACACATCCGTGGCTTATTCTGCAATGTGAAAAGTAGCTTGGAGTTTCCCTTTGTGGTGTTCAGTCATACAAATACACCTGTGGTGAGGGAAAGAGCAGAGATTGCAGGTCTCAGGCAGTGGGTATGGTCTTACCATGACTGGGATTACAATGGCTCTGCCTTGGTTCCCTGCTGCCTTGGGACCAGTCAGCTTGTAAATTGTCATCTGTATGTTTTTCACAAGGTTTTGTATACAGACCAGCATTAGAAAGCAATAGATTTGGGGGGGCTTTTCTGCAGGATCAGAAGACAATAAGTAGCATATTGCTATTTACATGCCTTCACAGATGATGTACCTTTTACAGCAGTGTGTTGCAGATGGGGATAAAAGAGGTGCTTCTCTGTGTTTGGAGTCTGGCACTGTACTCCTAAATGGAGCCTCTGGTCTAGTCAATGGATTTATCTTCTGTACAAGATCTTAGCAGAACAGGGGAAGCAAAATGATGAAGTTTAGAGAACAGACAGAAGAGTTGAACGTACTTTTTAACCAAGCCTGAGTGTGCGGTGACAAGTGATGGGAGACAGGCTCTGAACAGGCACATTGCAGGTGCCTGCATGTGGGGAAACCCGCGGGGGCTCCTGCGGGCTGCCAGGGTAGGAAGCAGCAGGGTCTCGTGTGGCTCTGATCCATGAGGGGTGAGAGCCCATCCCCAGGCAGATCCCCCCTGCATCAGCCTTTCCCCCTTGCACCCCCAGGGCCCGGAGATGAGAGGTGGCACGAAGACGGCCACGCCGCGGTCTGCAGCCGGGCAGGCTCAGAGGAACTCCACCAATGCCACGCGCATCCCAGCAAAGACACCCACAGCCCCCAAGACACCCCCCAGCTCCGGTAAGCGATGGCGAGAGCGGCGTGCTGCTGCCTTCCCCCGGTGTCTCTGCTGTGGTGGTGCTCCCAGGCTCTCCGTGCTGCCGTGCGGGGGTGGTGAACAAACGTGCCCCCGTGCAGCCGGGGGGGGTCACACACAGTGCTAGGCAAGGGCATGGCCAGCGTGCCGAGGTCTGCCTGGTGACCCAGAGTGGCTCAGCCTCGTCCCGGGGCTGTGGGTGCAGAGCTGGGGGCGGCTCCTCTGAAATGAGCCCTTCTGCGTGCTGCTCGATCTGCTCTGCTCACATAGCTGCCAGGGTGTAGGAGAGGGCAGTTGCTTTATCCCTTTGAGATTTCCTCTAACTTGGAAGATTTAAGCCGATCCGTTTTTTTAATACATCTATTCCTTTTCTCTTGACAATATTTCACAAAGACCAGGGGCAAGAAGATCAATTCTTCGATTTGCAGGAGTGGAGATTAGTCCATTATTCTCAGAGAAGAAAACCCCAGAAAACATCAGGCATTGTGAATTTCCATTAAAACGGTGCATTTCACTGAATATATATGTTTTTCATACTTAACTCGTGCTGCATAAAATCTCAAATTAATTAAATTTCCGGCTTTATTATGTTTAAGCATCTTTCTCATTCATTAAACAGGCAGAAAGGAGCAGAAAAAACCACCTCCTGCAGCAGCAAAGTCTGAGAAAGGTGATGTTCCAGGGTTTTCTTTTTTTCTTCCATTTCTTTTCAAACTGGGGACAGTTCTAAGCTGCTCAGTGGTCAGGCTTATTTAATTACACAAAATAATTTTGTAAAAATGCTTCCAAGTTTCTAATAGAAAAGTGGTTTTGTTTGAGTGTCTTTTGTCTGCAATTTGTCATGCATGCTAATGTCACGCTTGGATGGGGAGTCTTACCAGTGATCCAGACAATGAAGACCATCTTCGTTCTGAGATACTAGGAAATTGCCTTTAATCCCAGTTTTTGCTTCAAAATGAAGTAGAAGAAAGGGCACCCACCTCCCTCCTGCTCTGATGGTCTGCGCTAGAAGGAGCGGGTGGGCCCTGGGGCCAGGCAGATCAACCCCATAAAGCCAGGCAGTGAGTGGGGAAGGGGTTGCCGACCCAGATTGCTTATCCTGAGCTTGCCTCCCTCTGTCTGCAAACTTCAGGTGAGCAGCCAAAGTCTGGAGACAGAAGCGGTTACAGCAGTCCCGGCTCCCCCGGGACTCCAGGCAGCCGTTCCCGCACCCCCTCTCTGCCCACCCCACCAGCCAGGGAGCCCAAGAAGGTAGCAGTGGTTCGCACACCACCGAAATCTCCTGCGTCTGCCAAGAGCCGCATCCAGCCGTCGGCCGCACCCATGCCTGATCTGAAAAATGTGAAGTCCAAAATTGGCTCAACTGAAAACCTGAAGCACCAGCCCGGAGGCGGCAAGGTAAATGTGGACTCTGCTCTCCAGGGGCCTGTCTGTAGGGACAGCGGGTGCTCGGCGCTGCATCTGGGAGGGGAGAGCCCTCCCTGGAGCAGCAGCAGCCCGGCTGGGCCAGAGATACATCCGTGGGCAGCCATGCTTCAGCTGATCCTCCAGCCTGAGTCCGATTTTAAAGATCTTTGTGTCGATTGGGTTGGGTGCTTGTCCTGAAATCGGTTGCCTGGCTTCAGTGCGGTGCAGCTGTCCCGCAGAGAGGACTGCAGAGAGCTCGTGTTGTGGCTTTTGTGGAGTGGCACGGCAACGTATGGACCGGCTGCCAGGGGAATGACATTCCCTCGTGGTGTCCGGTTAGGGAGAGCAAACCGTGACCTGCAGCCCTAAAGAGTCGCAGGAGCAAGGTTGTGTTTCTGAACCCTGTTCTGTGTGATCTGGAGCAGTCCTTTCAATGCTGCCTCTGTTTCTTTATTAGTGACCAGGCAGGATGGTCTCCTCCCTGTGAGGGTCCCAGACCCAACTCGTTTTTCAGAACATTGTGATTGTGGGTCCAACCCTGTTGGCAAGGTGTGTGCTGTGATCAGGTGCTCTCTTGCTACACAATGCAGTGCGGCACAGCCAGAACTGATGGAACTATTATCTTTTCAACTGCTAGTACTTTTCATTCCCAGAGAGGCTGTTTCACAAGCAGCAAAGTGAACTCTGTGCTCCAAGTGCTTGGGAACGAGGGTCTTGTTAAATTTTGCGAGCCCAGCGGAGGAGAGTTTGGGTGAGGGAACGGTGTGAGCTAATTCATCCATGTAGCCCCAAGAGCAGCAGTGTGTGGTTACACAGCTCCAGCTGTGCTGTTAGCTGCTCAGCACCCATCCAAGCCTCTCTGCACTGCTCCTGGATGTGTCTTGAGGCTTTTATACAATCCTCCTTGCTGCCTGGGTGGAGACATGAAAGCACCTTGTTCCCCTGACTGGTGAAGGCGCGGTGGTTCCTATACAGATGTTAAATGGCAGAACTGCACATCTGGTGGCCGGTGCAGTCAGGAGTCCCCGTGTGCTTGTGCTTGCCTGCCCTGGGGGGAACGCTGCCTTGCAGACCTTGCTCTGCAGCTGCTAACGCAGCAGAGCTGTAACAAACCTTCCCTGAGTGCAGTGCATGCCATTTTGTGCAACTAGGTAACTCCATGGCTCTGAATGTTTGACTCTGGCATGAGGGGGGAGCCTTTGAGATGGCTCCTCTTCACCATCTTAAATAGCAGCATGCTCTTGCATTTCCTTACGTGCATTTTTCGCCGTGGCTGGCGATTTACTGGACAATGCACATTTTGCTTTGTACTACAGTCCAGGGGGGCTCTGGAGCCTGGGCAGGGCTGCTCGGGCCATTGATCGTGAGCAGAGCAGCACGTGTCCTCCCAGCTGCCCGTGTCCGGGGGCCTCAGCCCTCCCACCCGCTTAGCACAAGGCGTAAGTTTTTCCTGCTGCCCCCACAAAACGCTGCTCTTCAGGGATTTTTAGAAGGAACCCTTCCATTTACTGTAAATTGGTTAAATTGTTTGCTCGTTTTTTTTTTTTTTTTTTAATCCAGCTTTTACGAGTTTTTTTTTTTTTCTCTGTCTGCTTCTCTGTTAGACAACATGTTTATTGTTGTCACTGAAAGAGTAAGAACAGCTGAATTTGGGACAATTCATTGCTCTTTGCAGGGGAGAATGGCTGGATGCTCTGATGGGGATTTTGTAGGACACGAGGCTGCTCTTAGCAGAACAGTTTCAGTTGGAGCAGAAGGGGCTGATCCAACGAGTTTGATTTTAGGATGGCCAGAAGATGGGTCTGAAGCCTGCTCTCTGTGCAGATTTCAGACCCACAGCCTAGGGGGAAACAAAGGGCACACAAGCCAGGGGTCAGCCAGGCTACATTTCTTCCAGTATTTCTGCATTGTCCGAGCACTTTTGTTGTTGCTGGATCACTGAATACTGCTCTGGCAAAGCCTGGTCTAGCAGAACTGGGTCCTGATTTGCAGGATTAGTTGATGTGAACTTGGAAAATGATGCTGAAGGCGCGTGTTGGCCTTGGTGCTTCTTGTGCTAAAGACCCAGGGTATAGCGAGGAGCGATCCTTGCAGCAGCAGGCCAGGGACACGCTGAAATGGAGGGCAGGGTTGCCTGCTCAGCCAGCTTTGTGGATGTTGTCATCCAGGGACTGCACGTGCAGCACGATGTGATGCTGCTCTCTTGCAGGACGTCTCCTTCCCTCTCGTGAGGGTTGTGCTTCAGACAGGCTTTCTCCTGAGGGAGCACAGGCCTGCGTGCCTGCTGGATTTTACCTGCGTTTACCTCTGGTTTATACTTGAGTAGGTTGTAAAGCCACTCCAGTCCACGTAGGGGAAGGAGCAGGGACTGTCTTAATCTTTGTATTGTCTGGAATAGCCGCTCCTATGCGTGGGGTCACTCCAGCATAGCTGCCCTTTTAAAACCCAAATAGGCAAAACAAGCCCTAAATGGAAACAGCTTCATTGGTACAAAAAAAATCTGTGTGTGGTGGAGAGGGCAGGCAGGCTGCAGGACTGCGGGGTGACGTTGGCATGGTATGTGGTTCCCCTGTGGCACCAAGCCATTTCCAGCCTCTCTCCCACCCGAGGTGACGTTAGGAATATGCAGCAGAGCTGCTGCCTTCGGGGTGGTCTGTGCCACCCCTTTCATCTCGTCTGCGCAGGAGTTGAGAGAACTGTGGGCATGGGACTGCAGCCCTGGCAGCATTTGTTTTTTCTTGTTGTAACTGTAGAGGGAGTTTGAGCCCTGCACTGCTCTCCAGCCTGCTGCCCCAGCCAGCTGCACCCCTTTGCCCAGTTTGCTCAGGCTGCTGAAAGTGAGGGCACATGTATCTGTCCTAGAGAGGAGGCATGCTGCCTGGCATGGGAGATGGGGCTGAGCAGGCATTTTTTCTCTCAGCTCCATCTTTCCTCCTTCTGAATCTGAGCACTGGTGCCTTCCAGCATGTTTGCTGCCCAGCAAGTTCCCCGTTTTGTTCAGTGAAAGAAAACGGGGTGAGCTGGCTTGCTTGCTAGTGTTTCTGGCTTGGAAACCAGGGCTGCCTTGCTAGCCAGACGTATCCACTCTCTAGCTATAACTTGCCCACTTCCATCTTCAGTTTCCAACCCATGAGCAGACAAATCTATGCAGCAAGCCAGAGATTCTCCTTTGCTCTTGGCACTGGAAGACAGGTTCCTGGTTTTAGTGATATAACGCATGGTCAAGCTGCAGATGGTCATGTTGTTTCTCACACTCTTTTCTGGCTACCAAAGGTGCAGATTATTAATAAGAAGCTGGACTTTAGCAGCGTTCAATCCAGGTGTGGCTCAAAGGATAATATCAAACACATCCCAGGAGGAGGCAGTGTGAGTACCTTCACACTTTCAATGCACTATAATAGTTCTTATAATAAGTGGCATGTTGTATACACTAAACTGCCAATGCTATCTGCAGCGACCCTGCCGTCAGATAGCTATTGGTGACGTGCAATGACTCTTTTCTGGCTACCAAAGGTGCAGATTGTTAATAAGAAGTTGGACTTTAGCAGCGTTCAATCCAGGTGTGGCTCAAAGGATAATATCAAACACATCCCGGGAGGAGGCAGTGTGAGTACCTTCACACTTTGAATGCACTGTAATAACCCTTATTATTAGTGGCATGTTGTATACACTAAATCGCCAATGCTATCTGCAGCGACCCTGCCGTCAGATAGCGATTGGTGACGTGCTGTCATTTAACCCCATTAACCCAAAAGACATGGTTAGAAGGTCCCTAACAAGTCCTGTACGTGCCTGACATGGACAGAACTAACTGACCCGTGTAGAAACCATGTCTGTAACAAAACATCCTGTTAATTTGAAGGTTTTACACTACCTGGAAGGCTTAATGCCTCATTGTCTGCAGGATGGGTGGCCTCTAGCAGACAGTGACGTAGTTGCTGATGCAGTAGATGGATAGATTTATAAGCAAATGCAGTCCTCGTTGCTTAACCTACTGCTAAATTGGACATGACTCTGCACAGCATGTGAAAGAGCAGGTTCCCGCTCACTCCTACCAGGCAAGTATATGATCCATGCAAATATTAAGCTTCTCCTTGCTAATGAATGTCTGGCAGTGCCCATGGAGGCTGAGCCTAAAGTAATATTGAGCTAATGGATTTCAACGCTGGCATTTCCAGCCGTTCCCAGATAAATAGCCGGGCTCAGCTTTCAGTAAACTGTGACAGAAACCTGGAGAAACTCCACAGAGGTTGGTGGATTTACACCAGTCTCTCCGGAGACAGAGTTTGGGTCCAGGAAGGATGATGGACCGAGGAAGGCGCATCACTGAGACCCCAAACATTGCCACCCAGGGTCTGTGGTTGCCTGATCTGTGACCATCTGAGGAAGCAATCTGGTGCTTCTCAGATGTTCTCGATGGATTTTCTTTGTGTTGTTTTCCATCTCTGTGGATGCCCTCCCTGAGAAACTGAGCATTGCGGAGGGCGTGGCGCTTAAGCATTGGGACCTAACTGGGTTTGCAACCTCCGTCTTAAATTTGATGTCATTCTGCATTTATTTAACGGGCCAGAGGAGCTGCTTTGCGGAGGTCAGACCTCTGTGAAGCAGGTTCCGTGCTTGTTCTGCTCTTTCTTGCCCCAGGGTCCTGCACTGGCTGGACTCCTGGTGCGTGGTGGACCACTTATTACGCCAGGAGTTAGTGTTCGTCACGAATCATCTGTGCTGTGGCTGGAAATTAGCTTCAGCACAAGGTGGTGAGCTCATCCTTTTCTCCATGGAGAGCTCACACCATGGGCAAGCATTTGCAGCTGCAGTGGCTGCACAGGGTTCAGAATTACCTGGATTTTTGGCTGGAGGTTGTCATCCCTCCCCAGGCTCTGCCAGCAGTGAAAATCGTGTGATCACTGCCTGGCTGCATTGACACAGAAAGCAGCAGCTTAGCTCTGGGTGCGGGCACTCGGAGCAAAGCCATGTGCTGACGTGGCCAGAGCGTGGCTGCGCAGGCTGCCCTGGCAGCAGAGCCGTGCCTTGGGGCTCCCCTGATAGAGGGGCAACAAGAGACCACCGCAGTTCGATGGCCATTATGTCTTAATCCTCCACGATGCTGTCAGCAGTGACTGCCTGCCCAGCCCTTGCTGCTTCAAGAGGAATGAACTGTTGCTACAGTAACCTGGGGTTGGTATCTTTTTTTCTTTTTTTTTTTTTCTTTTTTTTTTTTTTTTTTTTCTTTCCCCCAAGCCAGTGGATGCTCTGACAAAGTGATGCATTAGGCAAAAGCTGACCTAAGCATCGCTGATGCTGAGAGGTGGGATCCCCAGGTCTCTGGCACTGGTTTCCCAGGCAAGCAACTCAGTGCCCCTTTTCCTTTCTTGCTGGAATGGGGAGGACCCTTCTCTGCTCCCCCACAGGATGGTAAGGGTTAATGGAGTCCTGTCTGTAAAAAAAATGGGAACTGGAATGAGAGCAGAAAGTGTTTCAATTGCCGATTGCTTGCTCTGGAAATGGGAGCTTGTTCAGTCCCAGGCCCCAACGGTGCCTGAATTGCTCACAGGCCCTTTGGGGTCACGGCTGGGATTAGAAAGGCACCAGCTCTCCTTTTGGAGTCTGTTTCCTGCCTTCCGACTGAATCTAGCTCTCTTCCTGCCCAGTGCATTAAACGTGTGGTCTTCCCCCAACGCTGTCTTCATGTCTGTGTCTGCCATGTGCTCCCAGACCCCAGGGTTGTTTTTCTCCCCTCTCTCTGTCTCCACTCTCTGTCAAATGTGCCTCTTGGTATGTGTGAGCATTGGAGACAAGGCAGGCCCGTGTGCACGGTGCTCTGGCTCCGGGACGGCGGCACCGAGCCTCTGTTCCCCCCCTCTTTTTCCTGGCTGTGTGATGGAGGGGGAGAGTGTTTCTCTGTGGTGTGCACAACCACGGTCCAGCACCTGGCTCTGAGGGTGATGGGGCCAACGTGAGAGCTGAAGGTTGCACCTTCACCCCAGGGCTTTTGAGTCAGCACAGGGTGCTCAGGTGCGATGCAGAGCAGTGCCTACGGTGAATCCTTTGTGCTGCTTCTCAGCCGTGTTGGTCCGCAGGTTGCCTGGCTGCTTGGAGAGGAGTCAGCTCCTCTGCAAAGGTCCCTTTGGTGTTAGCACATCCTTCCTGAGACCTGGGAGAGCAGCACGCCCACCGTGGTGCTTGGTGAAAACACGGAGAGCAGCGTACCCTCCCCTTGAAACCCAGGCTATTCCTGAGAGCCAGACGCTTCCCAGCGAGTAGGAACCAACCTTGAGGCGTTGGTGACCCAGTTTCTCCTGCGCAGCCCCACTGACTACACCGACAGCTGATTCACGCAGAGGCATGAGTCCAAAACCAGGGTCCAAGGTCACCTCTGGGGGCATGGGAATGTTTCCTCCCCCCTTTGTCTCCCGATCCCGATTTCTCTGGTGTGTATGTGCTGTGGTTTGCCATCCCTGACACGCCTGGTGGTCCCAGACCTCTCCAGTCGTTGGTGTTTTCCAGTGTGGTGTTTAACCTCTAACGTAACCACTAAACAGCTCCACGTTAACCGTTCCTCGTGTGTGCGTCCCGTGTGACCCAGCTGTCCGAGCCCAGGAGGCCGCCGGCCCCACGCCCGGGCAGCCCCAGCGCCGTGGCCGCTCTTTGAATGGGGCGGCTCGGGTGGCGTTGCTGGAGCCCACGTTCAGAGATAGAACGGGTGAAACAAGTCAAAACCAGAGCATAATATCACAAGATACCGCTGTGGTTCAGTATATTATAACTGCCGTTTTAATTTGTATTATGTGTACTCCTGCCAGATATTTAGACTTTGCTTTGCTTTTTTTTAACCCTTATTTCCGTTACAGCATTTTTCAGAAATGCATATTTTGGTCACTCTTTTAAAAGTTCTGTGCACATTGATCATTTCTGTTCTTTCAGTTTTTGTGGACATAAGCTTTATGTTTTACACCAGAAAAGGTATTTATTTTTTACGTTTTCTCTCTGGTATATCTCCTTCTTTCGGATGATGTGTATGCAAATCTTAATTAATTACCACTCCACTTTCTCTCTCACTTAAGCACTTTAAATTTGCCTCTACTTCCCCCCCTCTGTGGAGAGGTGATCTTGTGCATGCTGACATGTTAAGAGAGGCTACTGCACACGGGCATTAATGATCTCCCATTTCCGATGACAGTTTCTTTTGTATTATTAATCTTACTGGGGTTTAAGCTGTCCTTTCCCTTGATCAGGTGCCGGTGTGTGTTGTGCCTCCCCCTCCCCAGCTTGCCCGCCGTGGCAATAAGCTCACTGCCCTTTCCTTTCTCGTACGGACAGGTTCAAATCGTTTACAAGCCAGTCGACCTGAGCCATGTGACATCCAAATGTGGTTCCCTGGGCAACATCCATCACAAACCAGGTACCCTCTGACCCTGCAGCACCGGGTGCTGGTCCCTGGGAGCTCGCAGGCTGCGTCGTGATGTGTCCCTGGAGAGGGGGAGAGGGTTGGGGTGCTGCAGGGGTGTGGGGAGGGATGTGGAACAGTGACCGGAGCACCAGTGAGCCCTGGGGTGCTGGACACTGTTCCCAGCTCTGTCACTGCCAGATCCTCTCCAATCTGCCTGACCACTCGCTGGTAGGGGGAGGGATCTGGTGTCTGTGCTAACACGCCACTGTAAATGGGAAATATTTAGGAATAAACGGGGGGGGATTGCTGGTGTTTAGGGGAGCAAGGTTAGCTCCCTGCCCTCGGTTCTGTAAAACACTGGGGCGTCTTGTCAGCTCTGCACAGCAATCCTTTGGAAAGTCTCTTTACCCTGCTGCCCGTTTACCCTGGCTCCTGGCTTTCCCAGATCACCACGGGGTCCCTCTTGCTGCTGGTTCCCGGGTCCTCACCCTCTGCTCAGCCCCACAGTGCTTTGGTTGAGCCGCCTCGGAGCGGCGGCTCAGATCTCAGCGTTGTCTCTCCAGCCTGCCCTGGCCTGGCGCAGGAGCTAACCCAGCTCGTGCTCTTCTCTTCCAGGCGGTGGCCAGGTGGAGGTGAAATCCGAGAAACTGGACTTCAAAGATAAGGTGCAATCAAAAATCGGGTCCTTAGATAACATCAGCCACGTCCCTGGAGGAGGAAATAAAAAGGTAAAGGGGCACTGGGTCGAGAACAGGCAGGCTGTTCTGCTGCCTGAGAGCAGGCGTGCAAGCAAAGAGCGGTTGGAGCCTGGACTCGGGGAAGGTCCCGCTCACCCAGCTCACCTTCAGAGCAGGCGCCCTCTCCTCTCCGCCTGCCAGGCAGCACTTCTTCCCCGGTGCTTGGAACGATTTGCTGCCCGTGGTCTGTGTGCACTTGTCCTTCGGAGGACAGCAAGCCCAGGGCCGGGCTGCTCCGCCGCTGCCCCAGCAGGCAGCTTGCCTTCCTGCTGGCAGGCAGAACCCAGGGCTCCGGCGCTGCGTTGGCCGACCGGGAGGACGTTTGCTGGGGCAGAGCTGCGAGGAGGGCAGCCTCTGTCCTCTTCCCGGCCCAGGGCCGCCTGAGCGAGTGTCAGGGTGAGCGATAGCCTCTCCTGTGGTTTCCTGCTCTTTCTGCTGTTCTCTGAAGTTTGCGCAGAACCACGTTTGCGTCTCAAACCTTTCGCGTTCAGGGGTGCCACTGTCAGCAGCTGCTTTTGCGCTCAGCGTTGCCAGTTAATCCCCCCCCCCCCCAGCGGTGTGGCACAAAGCTGGCAGCTCAGGGCGCTGCATGGGTGTTGGTTCCTCTGAACGTGGAGCATTAAAGGCTTAGCTTTATTTAGAGAAGGTGACTTTGCAGTAGGGTGTCGCTTCAGAGGAAAGGTGATCTCTTCTTACTTCAAGTCTCGGTCTCTCAGCTGAGACTGACCGAGCACTCTGCGTAGGGAGTGGTGTGTGTTTGGGGGGGGGATTTAAAATGAAAGACAAAAGCCAGTCAGGTCAGGTGAGATACTGAACTTGGGGTGAGCTGTTCCGGCAGAGGCTTTGATGGTGACTTCACAGTAAGTCTTGGCTAAGACAGGCGCCTCCACAACCTCACTTCAAGGACAGCAGAGTCCCTTGCAGGCAGGGAGATGAGGTAAGCACCGAGTGGAGACTCCAGCCTGGTGATACACATGGTTGAATTTCTCCAGAGAAAAGCGGGTTTTCTTGTGCTTGGTTTTCAGACACTTTTTCTTTTTGCCTCAGTGGGAGGGGAAAGTTCTGTTTTGGCTCCTGTATTTTGGCACTTTGTTCTTGGCCACGTCTTCTCTGTGCACCTCCCAGCTCTTCATCTCCCAGCGGTGCGCTGGCCTCTGACTGAGGGATCACTTGACTTCCTTACCCTTCTCTCACTGCTGCTACGCATCAGACTGCCCTGTGCTTCACTAAGCCCATTTCCATCATTTTTATGATTACAGTGATTATTCTTTCATATCCTGACACATTCACTGGGCCATAGTTTGAAGAACTTGCCCTTTGGAGGGGGAATTTATTTGCGAGGGTGTGACCCAGCAGTGGCATCGCCTGCCTCAGCCTTCCTGTGTGGCAGCTGCCCGTTCCCTGCCTAAATCCACCCCTGGAGGAGGCTGTCGGTGTAACTGGAGTTCAGATGCTCTCTCAGATTCCTTCCCTTGTCCAGCCCATTTGCACCTTGGCTCCAGGGACCGTCCGCGGGCGGTGCCGCTCCGTTTGCGGGGAGGGCGCAGGGCACGGCTGAGCCCCCACCAACCCTCCGCGCAGCGCGGCTGTGGGCGGCTCCGCTGCCCCTTCCCTGGCCTGGCCCGTGTCCCCAGCCCCCTCCTTGCTCCGTGACACAGCCAGATTCGGACACGTAGCCCACAGCTG